CACACACACACACACACACACACACACACACACACACACACACACACACACAGTACACCGGTATATAATTTTGTACTGTAAAGTTTAATGTATTTCTGACTTAAATCTTCTGCCTGACTTTTCAGGAGGAGCAGGCCAATGTTCACCTGTCCAAGTGCAGGAAAGTCCAACATGAGCTGGAAGAGGCTGAGGAGCGTGCTGACATTGCAGAGTCTCAAGTCAACAAACTCAGAGCCAAAAGCCGTGACTCTGGCAAGGTAAATACTGAAAAATGTAGATGACTAATGTCCACAATAGACAAGTACTGTATGGGCCTCTTATGCAATGTGAAATTAAGTTTTGACTCTAAGAATTATATTTTCTTTCAGAGCAAGGATACAGCTGAATGAAGTTGATTCTTCAGTGGGTTGTTTCAACTCATATAATATGATGTGAAATATACCACAATAAAACTCTTTTGAAAAAAATCCAAAACAAATATCAATGTTTTTTTTGTGTCTGACAGTATATTTTTTAACAACCTGATCTTATAATCTCAAGATAGTCAATTTAATTTCACTTGGAGAAACTGGAGATATACAACTTTTCTAGGAACAGTAAAACCACACAATTATCTTTTCTCAACTCAACTCAACTCAACTGTATTTATAGAGCACTTTCAAACAGCCATCGCTGCATACAAAGTGCTGTACATGGAGCAATTTAACATATACAACAAACAGTAAAATAAATCGGTTATAAAGACGGTAGAAAGCACCGAACAGCAAAACCAAGAACAAATCTAAGTCATGCTGAGCTAATGCCAAAGAATACAAGTGAGTTTTGAGGCGGGTTTTGAAGATGGGCAGCGAGGAGTCTTGCCGAATGTTCAGTGGGAGGTCATTCCAGAGAGAGGGACCACCAACAGAAAAGGCTCGATCCCCTCTGAGCCTTAGTTTAGTTCTTGGTACTTCTAATAATGTCTGGTCCGCAGACCTGAGGTGCCGGGCAGGTGTGTAGGGGCGGATGAGCTCAGAGAGGTAAGGTGGCGCAAGGTCATTTAGAGATTTGAAAACAAATAAGAGGATCTTGAAAATAACTCTAAAATGTATGGGGAGCCAGTGAAGGGATGCCAGAGTAGGAGTTATGTGCTCCCTCTTACGAGTACCAGTCAAGAGGCGAGCAGCGGCATTCTGGACCAGCTGAAGGCGCTTAATGGAGGACTGGCTGACTCCAAAGGGCATTGCAGTAATCGAGCCGGGATGTGACAAAGGCATGAATTACTGTCTCAAAGTGTTCATGAGAGAGGAGAGGTTTTACTTTGGCCAGCTGTCTAAGTTGAAAGAAGCTGGATTTAACAACGGCACCAATTTGCCGGTCAAGTTTGAAATCACTGTCCAGTTTAAGGCCCAGGTTTGAGACTGTTGACTTAAGATAAGGAGACAGGAGGCCCAAGTTTACAGGATGGGATGTACAAGGGCCACTGGGACCAAACAGTATCACCTTTTAAGTGATTTGTTCCTAAAGAAGAATTTTCACTAATTTCATCTTTACCTTTATAGGGTTTCTATATATTGTTTTGCCGTTTGTCAGTTTTAAGCATTTAAACTGAAAAGTAAAAGTGAAAAGTAGTTGAACATTTTATTAACATAAATTTTAAAAACAAAATGAAAAAGATGAATAGAAAATGATTCAAGCTGGAACAGGACCTCAACTCCATCCATCCACCCATTTACTCATCCGTTTATCCTTCCAAGGGTCGAGAGCATCTCTCCCAGCTGTCTTCAGGCAGGAGACAGGGGACACTCTGAAATGGTTGCCAGCCAATCGCAGGGCACCCTCGAACAACCATTCGAGCCCACGCTCCCACCCAGGGACAATTTAAAGTGTTCCATTGACCTGCCACTCATGTTTTTAAAATGTGGGAGGAAACCAGAGTACCCAGAGGAAACCCACGCAGACACGGGTAGAACATGCAAACTCCTTCCAGTCAATGCCTCCATTCCTGAAGAGCAGACACCACTGCCAGCAGCTCTTGGTTGCCGACATAATTTATTTCCACGGGAGATAGTTTTCTGGTGAAGAAAGAACAGGAGTGTACTTTTTGTTCTTTTTAGCTTCTTTGCGAGAGGATGGCCCCCACTCTAGAGTTGTGAGCATCCACCTTGATGAATTGGAGTGAGATATCAGGATGGATGAGAACAGGAACGAGATTAACAGTCGCTTGAGGTAACTGAAAGCTGCATTCGTCTCAGGTGTCCAGGGAAACGAATACGATGTAGAGGTGAGTTGAGTAAAGGCTGCTGCTACCTTGCTGTAGTCTCTGATGAACCACTGATAAAAGGTGACAAAACTGCTTGAGTTCTTTGCGGGTGGTGGGTTGCTGCAACTGCACCACAGTCTCAATTTTAACAGGGTCTGGTCTGAGCTGCCCCCCAGGAAGAATGTAAGCAAAAAAGTTAATTGAGGAAGCAATAAGAGGTCAGGCAGAGTCAAGGCTAGTCATGGGGAAATTAGCAGAACTCGCGAAATCACCATTGATAAAGTTACCATCATCTGACCCTGAATCTATTAACACCTTCAGTGAAGCCGAACAATCGCTAGAAGAAACAGAGGCAGGCAAGGTTATGCTTTGAGGAGGTGAGCGGGAGGATGCAGTCTCTTTCTGTAGAGAGCTGGCTGCTGTAGCTGAGTGGGGTCCCTTTGTCCAATATGGGCATTGACGGATGAAGTGTCCAGTTGTCCACAGCAGATGCAGAGGCCCAAAGAAAACCTCTGGGTGCGTACATACTGGCTGCAAGAGGCGCGCGTACTGCTTCAAGACAATCACGTGACCGATGCATGAACTGTGTTGACACAGTCGAGGGGGCATCGATGCCGCAAAAGCCCGCCAAACTGTGTTGAAAAGGAAGTGCGTCTCGCGACGTGATGCCGCCTGCCGAAACAAGCCAGATCTCCCTCGCTCGCTTGTCGAAGTACGTGCATATTATGGAGCAGCTCCAGGGGAAATGAAATTGTCCGGCGAGTGGGACCATTTTGATCTCCTTTTGGAGAATAAGGTATTTATTCAAATCTCCTTGTCTCACCAAGTGCCTCTCAGATTACTGACATGTCTTGTTCCATTCTAATTCAAATTCATTTCGAGGTAACTCTTAGTTTACTATTCACATATTTTATTGCAGGTGAAATGTTGAATTTGCCATACAGAAATATCATACACCAACAAAAGCACCTCTGCAACTACATCTGGCATGTAACACATCATTATTAGTTTGTTTTTGGAAGCTGTTCTAAATGCCAATTTTGTTGGGTTTTGTTTTTTAGATGACCTGTGGCAGCATCTGGATGATGAGCTGGGATGACCGGGAAGAGGTGCAACAGCAGATACTATATCTGAGGTCCAGCGATACCTGGCAGAGGGAAATATTGCACGCAATCAAGACCCGCTGTTGTATTGGAAGCACCAACACACTTCTTTTCCAAACCTCTGCCACCTCGCAAAGGAGTTTCTCTGCACTCCGGCATCATCAGTGCCATGTGAGCGTGTGTTCTCCACAGCAGGGGAAATAGCATGTAAAAAAACGCAACAGACTGAAATTCAAAACACTCGAGCATCTTCTTTTTCTAAATAAAAATGTGTGAAGACAAAGCCCACAAGCATCCTCATTCACATAATTTTCACATTATTGAAACATAATGAGTGATACAATATGAATGCATGGATGTGAATGATATTGTAATGATACAGTATGAATGCATGGATGTGAATGATATTGTATACATTTCGTCCTCAAATCAGTCAGTTCACGCTGTCAAGTGGGTTGCCTGCAGGGATTATTGAAGTCCAGCAGGTGTCAGTGGTCAGTGACACAATATCAACACAGTGCGTCATTGTGTCAACATGCTTCCTGACGCCTCATGAACCCATCACTACTTTCTACACTACGAGAATAAGCTCTCAAAAATGGCAACGTAATGACCAGAAAATCACTACAAAAAACTGGGAGCGTTGTCAAAGTTCAACAAAGTATGAGATTAAAAAACTGAATGAGGACACCGCAAGGACTACCTAGCAGGACAAAGGATGTAACAAGACATTCTGGTGAGGAGTGACAATTAGACCGGAAAATAAATGCTGAGGGTGATGCATGATCAGGGAAAGCTGCTTGATGAGCTCAGCATATCCGACCACACCCACTGCTGAAAACAAAGAAGACAGACGCAAAAACCGGAAATAGAAATGCAACAATTTCAAAATAAAAGGGAACAAACAATGACTCATAAAACAAGTACTGTAGTTTTATTCAGGAGAAGCCTACTGTTTGCTAAACTCTATTCTTTGTTCTACAATAATATGACAATCTGTTTGTACATTATATAACAAGCAAGATTTCCAAAACTTGTCAATGTTCAGGAAGGTATTTTACTCAAAAGCATTTTTAAGTGTGAAAATTCATTTCAACAATATTTTAAGCATATAACACAGCCATTAAAATTTTTTTGGTACCAGTTACAATTTTATCAACAAAATACCTAACTCTAAAAGTGCACATTGAGGTGATTCAAATGCAGTCAGCATTGTTTTGGGTCGAATAGTCATTGATATTAATAGCAACAAACCTTTGAGCCACAAGAAGGTAGCAAAGGCTTGTCACAAAAGAATACAAGCGATGTACCGACCACACCCACTGCTGAAAACAAAGAAAACAGCCGCCAAAACCGGAAATAGAAATGCAACAATTTCAAAATAAAAGGGAACAAACAATGACTCATAAAACAAGAACTGTAGTTTTATTCAGGAGAAGCCTACTGTTTGCTAAACTCTATTCTTTGTTCTACAATAATATGACAATCTGTTTGTACATTATATAACAAGCAAGATTTCCAAAACTTGTCAATGTTCAGTAAGGTATTTTACTCAAAAGCATTTTTAAGTCTGAAAATTCATTTAAACAACATTTTAAGCATATAAAACAGCCATTCCAATTTTTTTGGTACCAGTTACAATTTTATCAACAAAATACCTAACTCTAAAAGTGCACATTGAGGTGATTTAAATGCAGTAAGCATTGTTTTGGGTCAAATAGTCATTGATATTAATAGCAACAAACCTTTGAGCCACAAGAGGGTAGCAAAGGCTTGTCACAAAAGAATACAAGCGATGTGACCATCAGAAGTGTAGTCATTTTAAAGGGGAAATTACCCCAGAAATGTCAATAAGATTTGTGGAGTATGAGTTAAGCAGTAAAATCCACCTGTTTTTAATCCATCTCAGAGTACTTACTGGCTGCAAGAGGCGCGCGTACTGCTTCAAGACAATCACGTGACCGATGCATGAACTGCATTGACACAGTCGAGGGGGCGTCGATGCCGCAAAAGCCCGCCAAACTGTGTTAAGAAGGAAGTGCGTCCAGCGACGTGATGCCGCCTGCCGAAACTAGCCAGACCTCACCCTCGCTCGCTTGTTGAAGTACGTGCATATTATGGAGCAGCTCCAGGGGCAACGAAATTCTCCGGCGTGTGGGACCATTTTGATCTCCTTTTGGAGAATAATCACTTGACTTCAAAAACTCAGCAGGCATCGCCGAGGTGTTGAAGATGTCTTGAGACATAACTCAGACAAGAAGAGCATGCCACTTGGCTATGGGCTGACGGACTGAGCGCAGCATAAGATCCAAGTGTTCACTAGGTGAAGTGTCGAATTTGCCATACAGAAATATCATACACCAACAAAAGCACCTCTGCAACTACATCTGGCATGTTACACATCATTATTAGTTTGTTTTTGGAAGTTGTTCTAAATGCCAATTTTGTTGGGTTTTGTTTTTTAGATTACCTGTGGCAGCATCTGGATGTGTGGTGGGATGACCGGGAAGAGGTGCAACAGCAGATACAATATCTGAGGTCCAGCGATACCTGGCAGAGGGAAATATTGCACGCAATCAAGACCCGCTGTTGTATTGGAAGCACCAACTGCATGAAGATTTTTTCACATAAGAGGGTATTTTCGCCCATGTAGGTTTCGTTCTAGGGAGTTTCACTGTAACGGTAAAAACATTCCTAACTAAATTTTGAATCATTGCCAGGTGTTGTCATTTTCAAAAGGTATGAATTGATTGATTGATTGTAACAAACAATATTCTGAAGTAAGATTTTTATTTTTTTTTAAAAAATGTCATTTGGACATATTTTGGTCAATAACGGTAAAAACATTCCTAACTGAATTTTGAATCATTGCCAGGTGTTGTCATTTTCAAAAGGTATGAATTGATTGATTGATTGTAACAAACAATATTCTGAAGTAAGATTTTTTTTTTTTTTAAATCAATCTTTGTCACAAGTGTTTGAATGGTTGTTTGTCTAGGTGTGTCTTGCGATGGGCTGGGAACCAGTTCAGGGTGTACCCTGCCCACTGCCTGAAGACAGCACAGCCGCGACCCTCGTGAGGATAAATGGATTAGAAAATGGATGGATGGATGGACAGTTAAAATTTTGAATGAAAATTTTACGGAATCACCATCTCATTCCACTTCACTGTCCAAATTAGAGGATGCAGTGAAATGCGTATAAAGTCGTAACTAAATTGCGTTCAAGTAACATCTACCATCTGGCAAATTTGAAGGGGCTGGTTATTCAGTCGTCTGTACCTACAGTATTTTTACACTATACAAAATCATATTGCGGGCCGGATTAAACTCTTTTGCGAGCCCGATCCGGCCCGTGAGCCGTATGTTTGACACGTCTGATCTACATCGTATGGCGCCCAAAGCGCTTTACAAGTCCCACATTCACCCATTCACGCACACATTCATACACCAATGGGAAGCTGCTGCCATGCAAAACAAACTCTAATGTATTCTTCTTCAGCCACGCCCAGTTGGAGCATTGCATATATTTTTTTTTAATCAATCTTTGTCATAAGTGTTCGAATGGTTGTTTGTCTAGGTGAGTCTTGGGATTGGCTGGGAACCAGTTCAGGGTGTACCCCGCCTACTGCCTGAAGACAGCCCGGCCGCGACCCTCGTGAGGATAAATGGATTAGAAAACGGATAGATGGATGGACAGTTAAAATTTTGAATGAAAATTTTACGGAATCACCATCTCATTCCACTTCACTGTCCAAATTAGAAGATGCAGTGAAATACGTATAAAGTCGTAACTAAATTGCGTACAAGTAACATCTACCATCTGGCAAATTTGAAGGGGCTGGTTATTCAGTCGTCTGTACCTACAGTATTTTTACACTATACAAAATCATATTGCGGGCCGGATTAAACTCTTTTGCGAGCCCGATCCGGCCCGTGAGCCGTATGTTTGACACGTCTGATCTACATCGTATGGCGCCCAAAGCGCTTTACAAGTCCCACATTCACCCATTCACGCACACATTCATACACCAATGGGAAGCTGCTGCCATGCAAAACAAACTCTAATGTATTCTTCTTCAGCCACGCCCAGTTGGAGCATTGCATAACCTAAGCAACGTGTTGGTCTCTTACTATGTGCGACTCCACAGTTTTAATTAGTTTCAACTGGTAAGTGTGCCAAGAGTGCCATAGGTAAGGAAGACCAAGCAAAGAAAAAGGTCAATGCGACACAACCGCCTAGCTGAAGTCACCTATCAAATTATCTGCCAAAGAGGGCTAATTGAATGATAGCTGTGGATCGTGGGCTGTTGGTCAGAGAAAAACAAAACGAAAAAAAAACAACTTATGATTTCTGAATTTGTACATAAAGTCTAATGCATTGCCAGAGTTGTTTGGTTTGCTAGAATTACAATATTACTGTACATAATCCAATCGTGCTCAATTCTGATACTTATTGTCCTGTATATTGCACATGTACTGTATGTCGAGGGCTAATTGAATGATAGCTGTGGATCGTGGCCTGTTGGTCAAAGAAAAACAAAACAAAAAAAAACGTGTGATTTCTGAATTTTTATATAAAGTGTCCGTACCTACAGTATTTTTACACTATACAAAATCATCTTGCGGGCCGGATTAAACTCTTTTGCGGGCCCGGACCGGCCCATGAGCCGTATATTTGACACCTCTGATCTACATCGTATGGCGCCCAAAGTGCTTTACATGCCCCACATTCACCCATTCACGCACAGATTCATACACCAATGGGAAGCTGCTGCCATGAAAAAAAAAACGTCTGTACCTACAGTATTTTTACACTATACAAAATCATATTGCGGGCCGGATTAAACTCTTTTGCGAGCCCGATCCGGCCCGTGAGCCGTATGTTTGACACGTCTGATCTACATCGTATGGCGCCCAAAGCGCTTTACAAGTCCCACATTCACCCATTCACGCACACATTCATACACCAATGGGAAGCTGCTGCCATGCAAAACAAACTCTAATGTATTCTTCTTCAGCCACGCCCAGTTGGAGCATTGCATAACCTAAGCAACGTGTTGGTCTCTTACTATGTGCGACTCCACAGTTTTAATTAGTTTCAACTGGTAAGTGTGCCAAGAGTGCCATAGGTAAGGAAGACCAAGCAAAGAAAAAGGTCAATGCGACACAACCGCCTAGCTGAAGTCACCTATCAAATTATCTGCCAACGAGGGCTAATTGAATGATAGCTGTGGATCGTGGCCTGTTGGTCAAAGAAAAACAAAACAAAAAAAAACGTGTGATTTCTGAATTTTTATATAAAGCATAATGCGTTGCCAGAGTTGTTTGGGTTGCTAGAATTACAATATTACTGTATATAATGCAATAGTGCTCAATTCTGACACTTATTGTCCTGTATATTGCACATGTACTGTATGTGCGCTGAGTAGTGTTTTATTTTAAATTGAATTTTATTCATTGCGACAGTAGGATTACAAATATAAGGTTACGTTTCTTAAACACACACACACACACACACACACTCACACACACACACACACACACACACACACACACACACAATGCAGCTCTTTCTGGACTGTATGAACCTTGAGCACTCCGACCTCAATTCTTTGAGAAGTTGGAAGAAACTTCAGTGACAGAAGAATTTCCCCTACAAGATCCTGCCAATTGAGCGTGTACACAAAAATGTCATTTGGACATATTTTGGTCAATAACGGTAAAAACATTCCTAACTGAATTTTGAATCATTGCCAGGTGTTGTCATTTTCAAAAGGTATGAATTGATTGATTGATTGTAACAAACAATATTCTGAAGTAAGATTTTTTTTTTTTTTAAATCAATCTTTGTCACAAGTGTTTGAATGGTTGTTTGTCTAGGTGTGTCTTGCGATGGGCTGGGAACCAGTTCAGGGTGTACCCTGCCCACTGCCTGAAGACAGCACAGCCGCGACCCTCGTGAGGATAAATGGATTAGAAAATGGATGGATGGATGGACAGTTAAAATTTTGAATGAAAATTTTACGGAATCACCATCTCATTCCACTTCACTGTCCAAATTAGAGGATGCAGTGAAATGCGTATAAAGTCGTAACTAAATTGCGTACAAGTAACATCTACCATCTGGCAAATTTGAAGGGGCTGGTTATTCAGTTGTCCGTACCTACAGTATTTTTACACTATACAAAATCATCTTGCGGGCCGGATTAAACTCTTTTGCGGGCCCGGACCGGCCCATGAGCCGTATATTTGACACCTCTGATCTACATCGTATGGCGCCCAAAGTGCTTTACATGCCCCACATTCACCCATTCACGCACAGATTCATACACCAATGGGAAGCTGCTGCCATGAAAAAAAAAACCTATACTTTATTCTTCTTCAGCCACGCCCAGTTGGAGCATTGCATAACCTAAGCAACGTGTTGGTCTCTTACTATGTGCGACTCCACAGTTTTAATTAGTTTCAACTGGTAAGTGTGCCAAGAGTGCCATAGGTAAGGAAGACCAAGCAAAGAAAAAGGTCAATGCGACACAACCGCCTAGCTGAAGTCACCTATCAAATTATCTGCCAA